TTAAACTGTTTTCACTGAAATTTCAGGTTTGGAATCTGCTTTGGCTTCCCCAGTCTAAGACAGAAATATATTCATTTTCCCATCACTGGAATTCCAGGTTGTTTTCAGTTTTTCACTGTTACAAACAAGGCTGCAATATATGTCTACAAACTCCTGATATGCATGAAGATTTCAGTATTTCCTACCAGTGAAACTGCTCAGTTGGAAGGTATGTGCATCTTCATCTTTAATAAATACTTCACTTCACATTTGAAAAGCCCCACAATGTCAAGGACTGGCCAGAGTCCCATGTGCGATGGGTGTGGGAATGGCAGTCACCGTGCAGGTGCGACCAGCTGGGGGTTTTGAGAGAGCACTTAGTTATAGCAAGAATGTTTCATAAATGGTACTGATATATTCAAGACCAGTGCGAATAAAAAACACATTGCTTAGAAATAATTATCTATAGATCCAAAGTCACCAAAGTCTTTTTTTCTTTCCTATGAAAAATATATATATATATTTTTTTCCCGAGGGAGGAAGAACAACTTAAACCAGAAAACACCTTCATATTAATCATTCTTCTCATATACTTCAAATTTGAACTTAATGTCTTTCTCCTGCTGGATGTCAGAGAAAACACCTGGGTATTCTGGCAGAAGTTTATATTTTTCCCAAATCATTTTGAAAAACGTGTCACTTTTCTAAAGTCCCACATGATCCTTGTCACAATAGTTTAAGATGGCCTGGGTGACTGGTGATCTTATAAACAGAACTGCCACTAACTATCCAAATCATCTCTACTTTATTTGCTACCCTGGTTGTTCAGTAAGTTTTTTAGATATCATCCAGACTTCTGGCAAGAGAATGAGTCTTTGTGAGGCCTTTGAGTTCTCTGCTGAGAATTAAACACCCTATCCTTTAAAGATCGAGCCCTTCTCAGGAATGGAGAACCAGATCTTCCTACACGTGACACCAGATTCTGTTTGCCTTCTCCTGAAGAGTTTGTGTCATTCTCTGGAAATACCTAAATTCATTCCTGAGCAAGGCCAGGCAGGTCCCCTGCTTCTTGCCAATGCCCATGTTCTGGGACACAGCGACGATGCAGTTTAGTAAACGAACCATGACAGCAGCGGAAAGCACTCCCGAGCCCGCCGCCAAGCACAAGAACGCGCGCCAAGATTGGTTGGAAGGTTTTTACTTGAACCTGGAGATGAGCAATGACATCCTCTCTGCACCCCCAAAGCCTGTCCTGAGCATTCACCTTCCGGGAGCAGGAGCAGTGCAGCAGCGCTCCCCGTGGTCCATGCGCTTCCTTTTGCAGATCACCACAGCTCTGAGAGACCCTCCTCTCCTTTTCCATGCACCTGGAGCTTTCACTGACACCCAGTTTGACAAGTTTCTGTAAAGCGGCCGGGCGCGGTGGCTCACGCCTGTAATCCCTGCACTTGGGAGGCCGAGGCGGGTGGATCACGAGGTCAGGATATCGAGACCATCCTGGCTAACACGGTGAAACCCCGTCTCTACTAAAAATACAAAAACTAGCCGGGCAAGGTGGCGGGCGCCTGTAGTCCCAGCCACACGGGAGGCTGAGGCAGGAGAATGGCATGAACCCGGGGCGGAGCTTGCAGTGAGTGGAGATCATGCCACTGCACTCCAGCCTGGGAGACAGGAGCAAGCACTCCGTCTCAAAAAAAAAAAAAAAAAAAAAAAGTTTCTTGTAAAGCAAAAGAAGCGCACAGGGCTTGCTCATGGAGTCCCTGCACAAAGTGGCCGTGGTGGCTGCGATGGACACTGCATGGGCACAGCAATTCAGTCGCCACTCACCAGTAGCTGACCTGGCAGCCACTGCTGAGGGCCCAGCCAACCAGCAGCAGCGTTTTATTTTGGACTGAGAAATAAAACAGGGAATGGTAATTAAGAATAAAATAACATTATGATAGATAAATATGCCACTAAAGATATAGTAGAGGTTTAAATAATTTTGAGACTATGAACAAGATTATGCCAATGGAGAGAACTTATTACAAGTAGAGAAAGCTGGAGTATTGCTCCTCCCCTCCTTGGTTGTCAGCTCCCTGTTCTGTGTGTGGGTGGAACGTACTCCAGTTGCTCTATAGCAAAAGACTGGGAGGAGGAATGGTGTCATCTCCACCTTGGCGATCCATGTCACCGTGTTCAGGGAAGGGCCATGAACTCCCATGCAGAGAGGAGGCTGTGGCTGTGAAGGTGCCTGTGGGAGTAGGGAGGAACCGCCCTCTACACTGGATGCACAGAGCCTGCAGATGGCGGGAAGGCCTCCGCTGTGTCCTATCAGGTTTTTCCAAGAGTCAAAGAGTAGACCTGCATATTGCCTCTGCTGATGTGAGCTGCACGCACACCTAGAAGTGAGGTCACCTGCTGTGGGTCCTGGGCCTGCTGGTTGTTCTGGGTGCTCAGAGGGAAGATGGGGAGGGGTTATGTAAAACAGTAACCATGCTCTATAAATTATTTTTTCCTTAACCTTTGTGTCATAAAATAAAATGTAGGACTCAGAAGGAAAAGAAACGTCTAAAAATTTGTGTCCTTGAATAAAAAGTGAACAATCATGAATCCACTAGGATAGATGTTTGTGGAGCACAGAAGCCCCATCATTTGCCCCAGCTCAGCAGTAAACTCTTCTCCCAAATAAAAATACATCCTGACTTTCAAGACTAATACTTCTTTGTTCTAATTTTTATATTTTTATCATCCAAAATTATAATTTAGTTTTAATTCTCTAGAAATATGCTTTTATTCTCTTTTATTCTATAGATTCTTTCTTGAAATTTATATTGTATGGTAGAGCTTCCCATAGTGTGCATTTTGCTGATTGCTCCCGCAGCCATTGTTTGTGTTTTTATTATCTGTATTGCCTCTAAATTGGTAATTGGCTATGGAGGTTAGCTTATATTCAGGCTTGGTTTCTTTGTCACTTGTACTTGTTTGATGGTGCTGTATTGTGTTCTCTTCTTTTCCATCAAGAGGAAGAACCTGACATTAGTTTTTGTTTTATTGTGTTGTTAATTGCCATTGCTGTTCAATGGTTAAATCCGTTAACTCATGATGGTTTGCAATAGAGTTATTATACTCTCAGTCTCTCATTCCTTCCTAAATATTATCCGAATAATTTCTAAGTAAGAGATTCACGCTCCTCTACTGTTTCTTTACTACTAGAAATTTGTTAACCAGAGACTTAGCCAAGCATCTACTCACCTATGACCCAACAAAAGCACTCTTAGTTGTCAACCAGTAGAAATGCTATGTATGTGTGTGCTAAAATATATGAAAATATGTTCATAGTAGCAATTACCTGTAAAATCTTGGATACAACACAATTGTCTATCAAAGTGAAGAGACAAGAAATATGAGCTATTTATAAAGTGGAGCATTGGACAGCCATAGGAGGACAGGCTACGACCACACACAGCGAGATGATGACACCCAGGCATGATGGTGACTGCATAATGCCATTCAACTGGAACTGGCAGAACTCATCTGTGTTAGAAATCAAGAGTGGCTACTCCAGGGTGGGGAGGGTGGTTTATGACTGAGGAGGACCCAAAGGTGATTCCAGCAGGCTGTGACTGGCGTACTTTGATGTGGGTGTTAAGCTGCCCTTAGTGTTCACTGGAACTCCACTGCTCCACTTCTGTGGGTTGTCCTCCTTCTCCATGCATGCTGTCCTTCCCCAAATATACATTGCTGGTGTTTCTTTGAAGCAATTCTATCTACACTAAGAAGAATCACTCCTACTGCATAGCCTTGGAAATGCTGAATTGAAAAATTTAGTGCAATTGCTTTAATTCCAGGAAATAAATATATAAAGAGGAAAACCTACAACAATGGCAGTAGGCTTGGGAGCTGACACCAGAACAGCTTTGGAAATGGCTCTCAAGCCAGGAACTGAGAATCACAACCCAAATGCCCATGGGAGGTGGGGTGTGGAATGATGCCTGTGTGGTGCATGAAATGAATGAGGTCAGGTGGTTCATGTCTTTGGCTGGCCAGTCACGAACTTGGGGAAAATAGGAGTTGGAAAATTGGGAGGTAGAGGAGAGAGGTATACATAGACCTCTTGCTATAGGCCGAGTGCATGACGATACTGGTTGTGTGTGGATGCTCACCAGAGTGGCTCCTAAGGTACGGGGCTCCTGTAATCAGGTGAGTGGAGATGGTTTGATGGACGATGCCACTTCAGCCACACAGGGCTTGCTCATGGAATCCCTGCACAAAGTGGCCGTGGTGGCTGCGATGGACACTGCATGGGCACAGCAATTGAGTTGCCACCACCAGGCTGACCTGGCAGCTGCCACTGCTGAGGGCCCAGCCAACCAAAAGCAGCTTGCTTATTTGGATGGAGAAATAAAACAGGTAAATGGCAATTAAGATTAAAATAACATTATGATAGATAAACATGCCACTAAAAATACAGTAGAGGTTTAAATAATTTTGAGACTATGAACAAGATTATGTCAATGGGGGAGAACTATTACAAGTAAAGAAGTTAAAACGGTTGTAAAACTTATTTCCTTCAGTAATATCCAGATTGTTTTACAGATAAGTTCTACCAAAACTTCTAACAAAGGCTATTGAATTTATACATAATATTCAAGAGAATGAGGAAACATAGAGAAAGCCAGTAAACTCATTATTATTGTTTATATATAAATAACACTGATTCTAAAGTCAGCTAGGGGAATACATAAGAAAAGCATGATAGGATAATCACTTCAAAGCAATTAGAGGTAAAAATACTGAGAAAAACAGTACTAGACTGTGTCTACCAATGAGCTATAAATAACTTAAATATCCTGCCCAGGTTACTCATCCCCAGGATACAAGAATATTTACACTTTAAATCTGTAATGCTTTTTATCACTTAATTAAAGAATAAAAGACAGAGATAATCACATTTTGTTAGATGCAGAAATTACTGCAGATGAAATTCAAGATCATCTCACCCACAGTTCTTCACTTATCTCCGCTTTAAACTTAGGTCAGTACTCGCTTGGCAGCACATTTATTATTAAAATTGGAAAGATAGAGCAGATCAGCTGGCTCCCTGCACAAGGGTGACATGCAAATTCATGAAGCATTCCATATTTTTAAACTCTCAGTAAACTAGGTATTAAAGGAACATACTTCAAGATATAAAAGTCATCTATGACAAACTCACAACCAGTATCATGTTGAATGGGCAAAAGCTGAAAATATTCCCTTTTAACACCAGCACAAGACAAGGATGCTTCTTTTCTCACCAGTCCTACTCAACACAGTATTGGAAGTTCTGTCAGGCAATCAGGTAAGAGAAAGAAAGGATATTCAAACAGGAAGACAGGAAGTCAAATTGTCTTTGCAAATCACAAGATCCTATATCTAGAAAACCCCATTGTTTCAGCTGAAAAGCTTCTTAAGCTGATAAGCACCTAGTAGTAAAGTCTCAGGATACAAAATCAATGGCAGAAGTCACAAACATTCCTATACAACAATAGATAAGCAGAGAGTCAAATGTGAATAAACTTCTATTCACACTGCTACAAACAGAATAAGATGCCTAGGAATATAGATCACAAAGGAACAAGAATCTCTCAAGGAGAACTACAAATTGCTGCTCAAGTAAATCAGAGAGGATACAAACAAATTGGAAAACACTCCATGTTCATGGATAGAAAGAATCAATATCGTGAAAATGGTCATATTGCCCAAAATAATTTATAGATTCAATGCTATTCTCATTAAACTACCACTGGGTATTTTTTCATAGAATTGAAGAAATGATTTTAAATTCATAGAACCAAAAGAGCTTTATGGTCAAGATAATCCTAAGCAAAAAGAACAAAGTTGAGAATGCTGCTAATTGACTTAAATCACTTGCCAAGGCTACGTAACCAAAACAGTATGGTACTGTACAAAAACAGATGCATATGAAAGGACACAAAGACACAAAAATGCTGCACTCCGCCCTCACACACCCTATTGCTAAACCCTTTGTTCCGCTTCTCCCTAATCTCTGCACGTACTAGACAGATTTTGTAATAAGATAACTAGTACCTGTTTTTCTTCTGAGGCCAGTCACAGATGTGTTTAAATAAGATAACTAGTACCTGTTTTTCTTTCTGAGGCCAGGTCACAAGATGTGCTTAAGTAAGATAACCATAAACTGGTTGCGCAGCCTGACGTGGTTAACTGCTCTTGTAAACTGTTTTTCCGCCTCAAGAGTTGAACTGAAATATCAGAAATGGCAGGAACCAATCATAGTTTGCCAAATCGCTTTGTTTGAACTCCAGCCAATCATACATCTATTCTGTACAATATTCAAGTGCCCACTTTCCTTAGGACTATATAACGCTGTTCAGGGACTCAGGGGAGCTTCCCGTCTGCTAAGCCACTTCTAGCGAGTGAGAGTTCCAGGTTCGAACCTGTAATAAAGATCCTTGCTGCTTAGGTTTGATTCTGGACTCTGGTGGTCTTCTTTGGGGAATAAACGGTCTGGGCATTACAATTGGGGGCTCGTCCGGGATTTCCCCCAAGCCCACCAGACCCCCAAGTCAATGGATCTTAATCTGTAGGTAAGCCGGCTTTGTCACTGTCTCTAAGTCTTTGTTCCTGTCTGTCTCCCCCTGAAATTTCAGAAACTGTGAATCTGTAATCTGTAATGGTCTGTTCTGTAAGTGGCACGGTCTTGGCGGACGCGCTAAAAGACAGCCACCGGGACTGGTGGAGACGCTTCCCCAGTGCCCATCTGGGGGCCTCCATCCTTGGTTGCCCCATCTGACTTAGGTCGGAAGTCCCAATACCGCTGGCCGCGACGGCTCATCATTTATCACTGTCTGTCCGTACAGCAAATGTTATGTAAGTCCAAACGAAACATAATCTTCCCCTTCCAGGACCAGATACCCCCGCCTTCACACATCCCCCCCCCCCCCCCCCCCCGCTTCACACTCATTTTCGTCCCTCCTTCTCTTTGTAGGAGCAGTCCAAAGATGGGCAACAACCAGAGCATGCCGCTCTCACTCCTAGTTACCAATTTCAAAGATGTGAAGACTCGGGGGCGTAACTTAAGCGTAGAACTAAAGAAGGGAAAGCTAGTTACTTTCTGCCGTTCGGAGTGGCCCTCTTTCGGCGTAGGGTGGCCCTCCAAAGGAACTTTCTGTCTCTCTATTATTACTAAGGTAAAAACTAAGATTTTCCTGCCAGGGCAGTCAGGACATCCTGATCAAATTCCTTATATTCTAGTGTGGCAGGATCTCGTAGAAAACCCACCGCCCTGGGTAACTCCCTTCATCCCTGAGCCCTGCAAGGTCCTAGGAACGCGACCTACAAGACAAAGGACTCCCTCTGCTCCCTTGGCCCCTGTGCTGCCAGACAGCCAGGACCCCCTAACGTTAGAATCCACACTTCCCCCACCATATCCGCACCTTATCCCGCAGGACCCAGTCCTCCAGGGTGGTGCTTCCGTAGAAAGATACCGAGAAGCGGAAGCAGCCGAGAGCGAAAGTAACCCCGGGGGGCCGGCCGGCCGAACGCGAGGCTGCGTACAGCGGGACCAAGCTTCCCAACTCCCTGACTCCACTGTAGCCCTGCCTCTCAGAGAAATAGGATCGCTCGATGATACCGGGCTCTCCCGTCTCATGTATTGGCCTTTTTCCACTAGTGATTTATACAATTGGAAGTCCCAAAATGCTCGGTTCTCAGATAATCCCAAAGATCTAACCTCGTTGTTAGATAGTGTCATGTTTACCCACCAGCCGACCTGGGATGACTGTCAACAGCTCCTCCGAATCCTGTTCACAACGGAGGAGCGGGAAAGAATCCAAGTTGAGGCCAGAAAGCTGGTCCCAGGAGATGACGGCCAGCCAACTGTAAATCCTGACCTCATAAACGCGGCTTTTCCTTTGACCCGGCCCAGATGGGACTACAACACGGCAGAAGGTAGGGGACGACTGCTCATTTATCGCCAGACTCTAATGGCAGGTCTCCGGGCTGCAGCTCGCAAGCCCACCAATTTGGCTAAAGTATATTCTGTGTTACAAGGTAAGGCAGAAAGCCCCGCTGTATATTTAGAGAGATTAATGGAAGCCTTCAGACAGTTTACCCCTATGGACCCGGAAGCACCGGAAAATCAGGCAGCGGTAGTAATGTCCTTTGTAAACCAGGCAACAAAGGAATGGCAGCCCTTCAATTGGACGGAAGAGGCTGAGCTAGCCTTTCAACAAATCAAAACTGCCTTGTTATCAGCCCCCGTGCTGGGGCTCCTTGATGTCTCCAAGCCCTTCCACTTACACGTGGATGAAAGTAAAGGTGTTGCAAAAGGGGTGCTAACACAGTACCTAGGCCCCTGGCAGAGGCCAGTTGCCTATTTGTCAAAAAAATTAAATTCAGTGACTGCTGGCTGGCCACCCTGCCTCCGGATAATAGCGGCGACTGCCCTAATGGTCCAAGACGCTGATAAACTTATCATGGGGCAAGAGTTGCACGTTATAACCCCGCATGCCATTGAAGGCATCCTCCGGCAGCCGCTGGACCGATGGATGAGTAACGCCCGACTCACCCACTATCAAGGACTACTGTTAAACCCCCTCAGAACAACTTTTCTGCCCCCAACCTCTTTAAACCCTGCTTCACTGCTGCCAAATCCAGACTTGGACGCCCCGTCCCATGAGTGCACTGAGATACTGGCTCAGGTGCATGGGGTGCGGGAGGACCTGCAAGATCGTCCGCTCCCCGACACGGAACTCATCTGGTTCACTGATGGCAGCAGCTACGTCCACCAAGGCCAGCGGTATGCAGGAGCGGCTGTAACGTCAGAGACTGAGGTAATCTGGGCGGAACCCTTGCCTCCAGGGACATCGGCCCAAAGAGCCGAACTGATAGCACTCACACAGGCCCTCAACGTAGGGGCAGAGAAAAAACTAACAGTATACACGGATAGCCGCTATGCTTTCGCTACTGCGCACATACTTGGGGCCATCTACAGAGAGAGAGGACTATTAACAGCCGAAGGCAAAGAAATAAAAAACAAGCAAGAGATCCTAGCTCTATTAACTGCTTTGTGGAAACCAAAGAAATTGGCTATCGTACATTGCCCTGGGCATCAGAAACCAACTACGCCAATTGCTCGAGGCAACTTCTTAGCCGACCAAACCGCAAGGAGCATAGCAAAGGCTCCCGGTCAGCTTCTCGTGCTCCAGCTCCCTGATCCTGGCCCGCGAGATCTGCCATGTTTTCCTGACTATACTGAACGGGACCGCAAATGGATGGACACGCTTCCCCTAAAACAGGTTCAAAACGGGTGGTGGACTGATGTAAATGACCAAACCATCCTACCAGAGCCACCTGGGTGCCCGGCGAATGATAGACTTAATCAGGCATGCCAAGTTCAGAATCAGGCGCATAGCTGAACTGGCCAGCGATGTCACAACAAATTGCAAAGCCTGCCAACTGAACAACGCTTGCCCCCAAACCCAGACCACCACAGGAATTAGGTGTAGAGGAACTAGGCCTGGCGTCTATTGGGAAATAGACTTTACTGAGATAAAGCCTGGAAAATATGGGTATCGGTACTTACTTGTCTTTGTAGATACTTTTTCAGGACAGACAGAAGCGTTCCCAACTAAGAGAGAAACTGCTCAGGTTATAGCAAAGAAAATTTTGGAAGAATCCTCCCCAGGTATGCCTTTCCCGTCCAGATAGGGTCAGACAATGGACCAGCCTTCGTTGCTAAGGTAAGTCAGGATTTGGCTTCCATTCTTGGGGCAAATTGGAAATTACATTGCGCTTATAGGCCCCAAAGCTCAGGACAGGTAGAAAGGATGAATCGGACTCTAAAGGAGACCTTAACTAAATTGACCATGGAGACTGGCGCTAATTGGGTAGTACTTCTCCCCTACGCTCTGTTCCGGGCCCAAAATACCCCTTACAGACTGGGCCTCACACCATATGAGATCATGTATGGCAGACCCCCACCCTTGGTCCCCAGTCTAAAAGATGACTTACTCAAACCTGAAACTGAAAATGTCTCTGAGCTCTTGTTCTCCTTACAAGTCTTACAGAAAATTCACCAGGAAATTTGGCCCAGACTACGAGAACTGTACGAAGCAGAACCTC